TCTCTCTCTCTCTCTCTCTCTCTCTCTCTCTCTCTCTCTCACAGGATTGCTAGTCAGATGCTGCAGCTGCTAAAGCCGGGAAGGAGGAGGTGGGAGGGTGACTCTGCCCTGGGGGGGGGGGGGGGGGGCCCCGGAGGGGCCGAGGGGGGGGGGGGGGGGGAGAACGCCTGCTTCCCTCCCCCGCCTGTGGGGGGTCCCAGCTTCTGGACTCCAGCTTTGAGGTGCTGCTGGCCCTCCGGCTGCCTTCTTCCCAGGCACCCTTACAAGGCCCAATAGGTCTGCTGTCTTGGCAGTCAGAATAACAGAGTTGGAAGGGACCTTGGAGGTCTTCTAGTCCAACCCCTTGCTCAAGCAACAGATCCTACACTATTTCAGACCAATGGCTGTTCAGTCTCTTCCTAAAAGCCTCCAGTGATGGAGCTTCTTAGGGCCACCCAAAGAACCTGCTTTGTGGCTGAAGTGATGGCAAACTGAGGAATAGGGCAATGGGCAAAGCCGCAGCCAGCAAGCAAGAAGCACCGGATTTCATCCAGCCCGCCTGGCATCTTGCTGCAAAAATGCTTGTCTCTGCTCTGGCTAGAAGTCGGATTCTCCCTTCTCCCCTTGTTTCTGAAAGGAATGAGCCCCAGGCTGTCTCTGGACCAGGAACGGTACCGACTCCCAAGAGTCCAAAGATGGGCTGCGTACGTGCAGGGAGGCTCCGCTTTCCATCGGGGTTGAAAGATGGTTTCTCTCTGCTGCTGCATGCCAGACGTGTGAAGGCTGTGGTCAGGCCAAGAATGAAGCTGTGGCTGGGGAAGAAACAACCTGGTTGCGCTGTAGTGGCGCACATTCCCGTGGCATCTGGATTGGATTGCTCTCAATGCCACACCACACCGTGGAGGATCATTAGCACAAAGCATATGTTGTGTGTGGAATTAATAATCGTTTTTGTCCTCACCAGCTGCCACTAATTGGCTTCCTTTGCACAAAGAAAACTGACAGGAGCAGGGTGGAAATTCAGTCACATGCTGGCGAGGGGGGTGCTCAGATGCTCCTCCAGACTGAGGTGCGCATGCAGACCTGCCCTGATGGCCCCCATGGGGGAGCTACACTCCAGGCTGTGACGATTAGGTGAAAAGTAAAATCTGCTGACCCAGGCAGCGTCAGGCAACCCAGGGCAAGGCTGCTGCAGCAAGCAAGAAGCAGCCAGAAATCACAGCCCTTGCCTGAAATCCATCGCCCCTTTCCTGACTGGGAGGGCAGAGAGCCCAACCACACGTGGGCTTGGACTGGCAAGTGTTGAAACTGTCTGGACCAGGATTCCGAGTGGGGGGCTCTTTCTGCCTCCCCCCCCTCCTTCCAGCCTGGAAGTTATGCGCTCCCTGGTCTGCCTCTTGTGGCATTTGGGGGCTTCTGAGGATCCCCCATCAGGAACCGGCTGAGGTTGCTACCAAACTCCTAGCACAGTAAATACATCTTGGAAGTCAGATAGGTTTTTCTGGCAAATTCTGATTTGCTATCTGGATACTATTAAACTCAATCAGCCCAGGAATCCGGGGGGTGAGTGACAGGCCCATTTTGCTGTATCGGTCAGGTTTTTATCAGCTCTACTTAATGGCTTTTGGAAGTCTGAATGTCCAGGCATCATTTTAAAAGCCTGCTAATGATCTCGTCTATGTATTAAAAAGCTAGATAAAAATGGAAATCCATAGGCAATAGACTCGTAGAACCATAGTGTGCAAGAGTTGGAAGGGACCCTGACAAATGCCCATTCAGACTTGGTTGGGAGAGCCTCAAGGAAATCTGTTCTATTGTCAAACATCTCTTATCATTACAAATTAAATTCCTTCTATTGCTGCTTCTTCTGTCTTCTGGGTCGACTCTGCATGGATCTACCCCTTCAGGTGTATTATCCTCTCCCTCGGCTGCATTTTATTCCCCAGATTTAAAAAAGAGCGTGTGCCTCCGTCCATTCCTCCTAGGTTTTTCCCTCCAGGCGTCTTGATTGCTGTCCTCTGGCCATACCCCAGTGGGTGTCCGGAACTGGACGCAAAATTCTAGAGGCCCGTGTGAAACGGAACAACTGGAATGGAAGCTCATGCGAAGCTATGAAGCCTGAAAGTAAGTGGCCTGCCTGGCCCTGCCGATCCAGAAGGTCCACCGTGGCTCTTTTGCAGGTCCTGGAAGACAAACATGGTCATTTCCTGAAAGAAAAGGTGGAGGCAGAGGATCAGCAGACACCCCCCAGCCCCTTCGCCAGAGAAACCAAGGGAGGAGGCTCCCATGGCGGCTCCTGTGCCTTCCCAAGGAGGTCAGCCAGGCCCTGGAAAGGGGCAGCCTGCTGACTCCAGCCAGTTCCACCTCAGCTGCCAAGCGTTGTTCCCTGAGGGAAGGGGATGAAGTAGACAAGCAGGCATCAGGCTTTAGGAATACCTGCATGGAGTGACCCTAACTGAGCAGGCGGCTGCGTGGATGATGTGAGCCACCTTGAACCAACCGCCATTGCTGCCTACAGCTGTTTTGGTGGCTCCTGGTCATCCAGAAGGTCCAGGACTTTCAAAGAGAGGCCAAAGATCCTCAGTATCAGCTTCATCTCGGGTTGGAGCCTCTCACCATCCCCACAACCAAGCAGGACCAAACAGAAAAAGGCTTGGGTGGCAAACGCCGCCACCCCCACCCAAGGACCAGCCAGGCAGGGCTGGTGTTCAGGTGTGGACTAGGCTTAACCCCACATCGAACCCCAGAGGCTCCCTGGCTGGATTTGGACTAGTGCAACTGCGCTGCTGCCCTTGTGGCGAGGAGGGTGGGGCGTCTGCCAAGGGAAGAGCCCGGCTGCCCCCGCCCTCCTTTCCAGCTGCTCTTGGATTTCTCTCCCTGCCCCATTAAGGTCAGATTGATATCGTCCTTAATGGCCTCCCCATAGCTGGGCAAGGAGCGTGGCTGTGCAATATCTGGAGCGCTGAAATGCTCTCCAGGGCTCCATCAGCCCGGCTTTAATGCAGCTTATAGTTATTTTAGACTTCATCAAATATTCAGCAGCAGCTGAAGAAAACAAAGCCTCCAGGCTAACAGGCCGAGAAATTCAGGGCCTTTGTGTTCAGCGGAAGCCACAGCCCAGAAGGAGCCCAGGGCCCTCAGCTGCTTCCACTGACTCTCGCCTGTAAAGCCCAAAGTGGACTTGGTGCCAGTAAGCCCAATGCAAGGGCCATTCCACCCTGCCCCCCCCCCCTGTGCCCAGGACCTGCCAGTCAGGGTACTTCTGAACCCCTTCCGTCCTGCATCCCTTGAAGGCGTCTAACCACTCCATCCCAGCCCCCCCTCCCCCCAGCCCCGCCCCACCTGGCCCAGGGAAGGCCCTTTACTTGCCCAGCCTTTAAACTGGCAGGGTGGCACCGAAGGCTGAAGGCCTTGGGGCTATGGCAAACCGTCCTCATGCCGCCAGTGGCAAGCCAGCCGTCCAAGGACCGAGGCTGAGGCTGCAGCTGGGCTGAAGGGCCGGGAATCCTAAATGCCCAGCCGAGACAGGCGGGGGCCCTGCAGCAAAAACCCCGTTTTGTTTTGTAACCCCATGATGATTAAAGCCGAACTATGCACAGTGAGTGCCTGGGATCCCAGCAGCATTAGGAAAAGGGAGCAAAGAAGGAGCCGCTCTTTCTTCTTCTTCTAGGGAACCGTCGTTCTCTCCTAAGCGCCGGCGAAGCCTTTCAACTCGGCAGGAGGCCGGTGTCGTCCAACGGGGACTTTCCCTTTCGTTTCGCCTTCCCAGACTCCCGGGCGTTGGCGCGGCAGGCATCGCGGGGCTCAGGCCGCGCCTCGTGCCCAGGGAGCGCCCGCAGCCTCGGGGAGGCAGCCGCCGGAGAAGGGCGGGCACAAGGCGGCCAGCCACCGCCGAGCTGCCGCGGCTGGCAAAGCCTCCGGGCGAGTCGGGCCGGGAGCGAGCCTGGCGGGCCGCCCGTCGGGCAGAGAGGCCGAGGGCCGCGGGGGGCTCAGCCAGCGCCCAGCGGCGTCGGGGCAGCAGGCGAGGCGCGCCGGGCGGCCTCCAGAGCTCCGCCGTCGGCCGTTCCTTGCCCGGCAGCCTCGGCAGGGGGGCGGCCGCGTTCGGGAGCCGCCCGTCCTCCCTCCGCTGCCTGGATCGCGGGGCCGCCTCGGGGGAGGCAGGCGGGCTCTCTCCGGCCGCGGCTTCGCTTGGATTCCCGCCTGAAGCAGCCGGTTGAAGAGCCCCTTTGTGGGACGGCTGCCTGCCGGGAAGCGCCTCGCCAGCAGCGCGGAGGCCTCGGGTCAGCCGCGGCACGAAACGGCCCCGGGCGGGGAGCCGCTCTTCCACGGCGGCGGCTAAGAAAGCGGCGGAGATCCGGCTCCCCGACCCAACAAGCAGCTGCTGCTTCGGGCGGGGGGGGGGGAACAGGGAGGCTGCAGCACCTGTTGGTCTAAAGCGGGGCTCCCCTCCCTCCGCGGAGACGCCCAGAGGGGCCCAGAGAGGCCCCCTCCCGCGCCAGGCCAGGGACCCCGCTGGGCCTCCCGTGAGCGCCCCGCCCGGGGAGGGGCTGCCTTGAGCCCCTCTGGCGCTGCGGGCCTCAAAGGCGAAGGCGCTTTGCAGCGGCGCCTGAGGTGGGAAAGGAGGGGAAGCCGACCCCGAGGCGGCAGCCCCGGGGAGCAGAGGGCTTCGCTCTCCCCCTGCCTCGGTGCAGCGTCTCCCGGGGGGAGGGGGAGGGGGAGGCCCCGCCCTCCAGGAGCGGCGGCCGCTGTGCGAGGAGGGGTTGCATCCAGCCAGCCCCGAAGCCGCTGGCCGGGCAAGCCAGGAATGTGAATCGAAGAGAAAAAGGCCTGTGCAGCTTCTCAAGATTTTCAAGAAGGGACAGTCACTTGTCCGAAACGGTGTAAGGTCTCCTGCCGGAGCAGGGGGCTGGTCTAGAAGACCTCCAAGGTCCCTTTCCAGCTCTATTCTGATGGATTGGTTGATCATCCAGGTCATCCTTGTCCCCAAAGGGCTTTTCCAAAAGGCAACTGGACTTTCTTCTTTCTCTCCTTTTTTCATCTGTTCCAAACGAAGAAGTTCAGATATGCCACCTCCGGTTTGCCAGCCAGTCCAAGTCAGAGTCTTGTAACCAAGATTCACAAGGATGACCTGCCATAGCAGCTAATATAGATATACCCACATGGTTCTCCTTTGTCCCCATTCTGGAGCAAATGCTTGGGGGGGGGCTGCAAATGGTGCCCAGGCACTGTGGCCTTCCCCCTTCTTCACCTCCCCTTTCCTGGGGTCGCTGCTACCTTCTCCCAAGAAGCACCCCTGATGGATCCCTGCCTTGATTAGCCAAGCCCCAAGCACATCACTCAGCATAACCCAATCGAGGCAGCCCAAACCTCTAATCAGGTTACCTCCCTTTGCTGAGGGCAGCTGGTGCCTCCGTGGAGCCGTTTCACAGCCAGACTGGCGCGTATCCAGAAGTGGATGTCGGAACAGACAAAATTGGGAAAGAAGGTTGCACGATGACACGTCTGTGGAATGCTTCCATTCCCTCTGTGAAAGTAAGTGGAACATGGGCTTGTGGGAGAGTGGGATCCCTCCAGCCATGCTCCCGCTTCTGTGGCATGGGGGGCCCACGCGGAAAACGGCCAGCTCCCCCCCCCCCATTAATAACAGCCCAGACTGATGACTGCACAAATCCTGGCACCTACCCTTGGCATGAATTCAAAGCCCCAAGCCCGCCCCCCCTCCACCCCACAGTCATGTGACTGTATTTTTGGGACTTGGCAAAGTATTTACGGACATTTCCAGCTTCCTCACAAGACTGCAATTTACAATGTCTTTTGCTAGAACATGTACTTCTGGTTGCTGGCAAAAAATGCTCATTGCAGACAATGGGTTCTCTTAACAACCACGGTGATTCACTTAATGACCAACTGTCAGATCTGCCTCAGTCTGATCCCTTAGGAAAGAAAGACCCGCGACTCTGTTTGGTTGAAGCGAAAGGTTGTTTTACTAAAAGGTGTTGGCTAAAGTCAGTAAAGGCAGGCTAGCTCTGGGCTTCCCACGCTCAAAAGGTACAGAAAGCTTTCCCCTCATCGCAGCCCCTCCCCCCCACCAGTTCATTTTCAGCCAATCGGAACTCACCAAAGTGTTTTGGGAATGCTGAGATCTTTTGGGTAATCCACATTCTTTCTCAGGGTGCCTGGCCTTGGATGCCGGCACAAACTGGTTCTGAGCTTCTCTGGTCTTTATCATCTGTCATTCCCCGCTCCCTATTCCCCATCACACACACACACACACACACACACACACAGCTTTATTGCCCATCTATCCTCCCCGCCGTAGCCTTCGATGGCCGGATGCCTGTGAGGTGCCAGGCCAAGCCTGGCGGACCTGATTCATAAAATCATGTCTGTCCTGTGATGATCCACTTAACAATTGGCAAGATCTACAACCATAACTCAATTCTGGCTATCATCCAAGGACTCCCTGTGTTCGCAACCGATTTCAGAAAGCCATTTCCTTTGCTGCCCTCTCGTCGTCATGTGGATTTTTGCACCCGGATATTGTAGCCACGATGGGAGGAGACGCTAGATCAGCCAGAGCACCTTAAGGCTTCGGGAGATCTCAGGGGTCTCCCAAGAAGATGAGTCGGTTTGAAAAAAGCAGACTGAGTTGGCCCACCCGGAGCACATGTGGACTCCAGGCGGCGCCAGGGATTGCGCACACATGGAGCAGCCGGTGAGAGGGAGACGGCGTTTATGTGAGGAAGGCACCAAGCATTTGGCGGCAGTTCCCAGCTTCTGGCATGTGCGATCAAGCTTTTCCTTACTTCACAAGCGTCAGAACCAAAGGCAGGAATCACTCTGATTCCGTTGGAGATGAAATCCACGTGGGCGCCTCTCAAATCCCTCTAGAATTGTGCAGCAAATGTGCAGCCAAAGACAAGCTTATGTCTGCTTATGTGCCCCAGGGAAGCAGGCAGCTGCAAGCCTCATGTATAAAAGCTGGATGGTGGGGGGAGGGGGGGTGTTGGAGGCAGACATGCCCCTCCCTCCTTACAACTGCTTGTCCCACTGGCCTGGAGGAGCATCTGGAGAATGTTCTGCGATGGCTTCTGCATGCCACCTGTGGCTAGGGGCCAAAGGGGGCGCAGCCAGTGGTGGGCACCCAAACACCCTAAACTAGGGGTCTCCAACCTGGGCCACTTTAAGACTTGTGGACTTCAACTCCCAGAATTC